ACTCACTCACGTTCTACTCATTCCTACTCATCAGTACTCACTCATACACTCACCACGTTCAAATGAGTATGAATGAGTGTGAGTGAGTGTACTTATGAGTGAGTATGCCAAGGTACGAGTTTTTTATTAGAAAAATAGGCCGTAAGCATGCAGTGCATACCAGGGGCTTTCACTAGGATGCGTTTCCATTCACTACTTTCTTTCAAAAAAACTAGCTTTGAGCCACAAAAAATGCTGTTTAAAAAAAGCAAGAATTATGCACAAAGGGACACCCTTCTCAAATTACAAGGAAAACAAAAAGTGACTCCTTTTTCAAGCTGCCCTACTCTGTGCTCCTAACTGAAATCATTGCAGTTGTTCATGGCATGCGGGGCTACTTTTAACCTTTACGCTACTTTTAATGGCTCTAAACTCAGGTTGGCTACCTTTTGGCTAGTTTTTCTACTTTGCTGGCTATTTTTGTATTTCTGACATGGCAATACTGAAACAATATCAGACACAGACATCTTCATGTCTGATCACACTATTTTACAGTGAAACTTGACAGCTTATATAAAGCCCGACCATTGATTTAGGAAATTCAGTAAAATGACAACAAATTTGAACAGCACAGAGCAGTTGCAAGTCCCATAGACAGAATGAAAATGAAATTTTATAAGTGCCTCTGTGATAATATGTCACATGTCAAACAGACAAAACATTTTTGAAACAATTTTATTTGACGGGAATGAGTTTTTTTTTACCAACACAGAACATTTAACTGGAAGTCAGAAAACACGGAATGAGTCTATGCTAAAAATTTCATTCATGTGAAATCTGTCAACAATTTTGGCAAGAGTTGCTGCATACACTCATCAGTGGTTTAGTGGAAAACTGTAGAATACATTCACAGGACCTTCAAGGATGTTGAGGCATGAAAAAATGCAAAACTGTAATAGCAATGACAAAACAACAAGAATTCTAGAGTAAAAAGAATTGCCTTGATATGCAGTAAAACACAAATAAGTGACATGTAGTGGGTCTATCCTGTCCAAGTGAGACTAAAACCACAGGCATACCAAACAATGAAATTTGATTAATGTGCTCTAGAAAAAAGATGAATTTTCGGTTGTAACATTATAAATAAGAAAATAAAAAGATGTGCACAGTACGAAAACATTATACTTTTGTGTAACTGTCACACATGTCCATGTATATGCCTAAATATACTATACCAAAATATACAATATACAAAAGAATCTAAGGCTGAAGAAACCAAGTAACTACAGCCATTTTGACTAGCAAACATGAACATTTTGAGGGCTGAAAAGAGATCCTAAAGCTTTTTATGAGTACGTTTGAAAATAGAGAGGATGTCTTTGGTATAATCCAGCATAAGTTCAATTCTTTTTCATGCAAATATGACACATGAGGAAGCTCATAAATGTTCACCAGCATCTCTTTTATAGGCGTCAGGACAACCAATTTTCAATCATAATCTGTGTTATGTGGGTTAATCCTTGAGGATTCATAAATAAGCTGGCAAAATTTCAGTGCATTTAGTCAAGCACTTAATAAATAATTGAATATTTTTACAAGCATGCGAGCTGCCTGAGAGTCAAGCAGTACTGCCGCATTTTCGAGCTGTGACGTAACAAGCAACTGGCTGTGAGAGTGTCTGCATTCCAGCTGAAGATATTGTTCTGTGGTAAGCAGTGCATGAAATCGAGATATTCAAACTTCCTTTGGTTTGGCAGTGAAAGTGAACAATTTGAAGAGGCTGAAACTGTGGTAGAAGATGACAGCACCACTCCTTGCTGCACGTGATGTCACTGGAGCCATGGCGCTATGGCGGTCACCGCCAACGGGTGGGATTTTCAGCCGGAAACTTCTAGGGGCTGTTTTGCACCGAAATATTCTTTTACAGCCAGCCTTCCATATCTTTCTAGGTACAACAGACCCTCTACATCTAGTTTTCAGTGAAAACTAGAAATTGTTGGGTGACCGTGTCATGGCCCCTTAAAGACTCCTTGGCATTTTCTACGAAGGTAAGTCATTCAAAAGGAACTGAAGCAGTTAATAGGTAAAACATCACGTGCACCTACAGTGCATGTTTTGAAGAGTCATGTGAAATGATAGTGGACCATACATCATGGACTAGATCAAACATACAATATTGTTCTTATTTCTGTTTTCAGTGGAAAAGTTTAAGAAATCATGACCCAAGACACAACACAGGAATGCTAAATACGTGTCTTGCTTGCACATGAAATCAGGCTACAACTGAAAATGAAAATATATCAGGAAATACAGCATTAGCATTACTTAAAAGGTATGAAAATGCTTGTAAGTTTTAAAATCATACTTTGTAGTTTGTACATCGAATATCCAAGTTTAAGCACATCAGTTTGCTCCTCTTTGGCTAATACCATGACAAAAGCTTGAAGGGGGTCTATCAACAGAAGAAAAAAACATATATAAACATGAATACACATTACAAACAACTTTTTTAGAGTTCTTTATATGACTGGGATTATTTCGACGACAAATTTGAAAAATGACTAGACAGAAAGAAGGGGAGAGGAATTGAGAAAGTTACAGAAGAGCTCACTATGAATACAGTAATCACAATATGAAAGGAAATTCAAAGCTTTTAGATCAGCCAGCTTACCCACCTGAAGTGCCTGAAACAGTAACAATGGGCTTCCAACCAGCTTTTAGGCACATTTTAGTAAAATCTCATATATGGATTTCTGTTTGTTAAGTTTTATAATTGCTCTTACTTACACTCTGAAGCACAAGAACCCTGATCTAACATCCTATATTTAAGTTTCCATTCTTAGCTGTCCGGTCTGAAAACTGCCATGGCATTTACACCGACAGCTAACTGAGGCCAATGAAGTCCCTTTAGGGGTAGTGGATATATTGTGCTTCAGTAGCACCAGCCATATTGTGCCACTGGCAACATGACAATGAGATTTCATAGAGAATGCCCACATAATATCTTCCCATGCTGAAGTGTAGGTAACATCAAATGACGGAGCCACAAGTGCCTGTTAGCTTTGCCTTCTTTGAATGAGCAAACATGAAAAGTTACTGAAGCCTATCAGATAGCCCAGTGTGGAGGTGTCAATACACCCTACAGTGTGCCGATAAAAGAAAAGGTAAATTATGGATAAGACATGCTGTGGTAATAAAAATAAAAGCCAAACTTTCTTGCTTTTTCTTTTCTTTGTTTTGTGTTATCATTGTCATAAACTCGTTAAATGAAATTGTACATTTTTCTTATTACATATGCCATACACTATAAATAATATATTTTTATAAATATTCAAAAAGTGTGCATTTTGTGGTCAATTCTAGACCAGTCCCTACTTAGTCCTCTGTACCACTGTTACATACCTGCATTTGTACCCGTATTCTGCTTGGTGTACCGCAACTCTTTCTTTTTTTAAAGGGCTTCTAGCTGTGGAATGTTATTTAAATGCACTGCAAATGTAAAAATGCCTCGGTTTACACTAAACTTGTGCAATGAACGCAAATTGAATGGGAACCATTACCAGGCTGTGCTAAACAAAATGGACCACAACAGGATATGAAAGGCAAACTTTGAGATCTCCACTGAGAGTAAGAAAAGAGGGAAAATCAAGGCGTGCGAGAAAAAGGGCTTCGAATGGCCGGCATAAGAGAATCTTTACAATGATTATGCAGTAGCTTCGTTTTCGTCCACTTCGTTGGAAACTAAATCTTTCAGTAAAGTTTTTTCAAAAGTATCCCTTTTCATCAGAACGGAGCATTTTCTGTGCAACCACAGCTGCTTTCAAATGGTAATTTTTGTACATAGCTAAACACATAAATAGCTAAACACCTAAATTTGCTATCCACCCACCTTTAATATGCCGCAAATGAAGTCATCTCTCCTGCCATATTCACAGCCCACATCCATAAGAGATAATACTATAGGATATGCAAGCAAAGCAATATTCAGCATATACCAATTTTTTGTTCAACGCACACATCATTTGATAGTGCACTTCCATTGTTGCTCACAGTCTACTACGTACTGCTTTTAAACATTCTATAAAGAATTTAACAGTCACACTATTGCTGATCTAAATGAAAGTGGAGGTTGTAACACAAGAAGCATCTGAACTTTCTTCTGTCGAGTGGCATCAACGAAATAACTGTGCAAAAAAAAAAAAAAAAGAACCGTGCAAAACTTGCACTTATCTGTAATACTTATCTAAAATATTTTAACTAATAAAAGCGACCAGACGCCTATAAGTTTCACTGAAAAATGACTCGCACAATCTGCTCCTTACCATACACTAGAGTCTAATTAAAGCAAGAAATTTAGATGCAGTTTAGCTTTTTAGGCGAACATTGTGACATAAAAAATAATAAGGAAATATATTATGTGGATACTTATTAAGCCAATAATAAATAGTACAACATAAACCTCCTGTTTAATAAATCTGGTTAGCGACTTTATATACACAATGTTGCATGCTGCACATGAGCAAGCATTGTGAATGTCTCAGAGTAATGAGAGATAATTACAAGGAAGCTTGCCACTGACAGCATCAGCAGACATTTTTGAAATACGGTATTATAGATAAGAAAAAAAAATCTCAAGCCAATATTTACACCCTCTAGCATCCTAAGCGGCCTGCTCGACAAAGTTCATTTTCTTTCAGCAAAAGTGGCATTTTGTGTAGCAAATTGATGGTGCTAGAATAAAATTTGGACAACTCGCAAGTTCCGCATAAAATTCAAAATGTTCTTCCTATGTCGATGCAAACTCACAGTCAAATGGTTTTGTGTATTTCAGCAGCCAGTATCACCATGTGCATTGATTAGAACTTCGATGTGCATTTCTGAGGCAGCTGGAACAATACTGGCAGTGATAGCAGTTTTTTAAATCAAATCTTCAAGCAAAAGTTAAAATGTTTATCAACTATAATTTGAACGTTTGCATGCACAGAAAAGAAAAAGAGGCAGGGGAGGAGAAAAAACACTTGTTTTAACATATTCACATTAAGTATATTTTTTTGAATGTCCAGCTTATTCAGGAAAATTATATCTTCTTTTCTCTCTGAGCTTTCATCATGCCAGGCATTATTCATAAAAACTTCTTTCAAACATAAAACACTCATGTTTTTCACAGTGTGAAAATTAAAAAGAAACAGTACTGCTAGTGAAGTAAAAATGCAAATGCTATGAAGGAAAGCTAAAGTTCACTTTTGCACATTATTTACCGTATTATAATCTAGTCAAATAGTTTTTTTCAATTTTCTTTGTATCAAACTCCTGGATGGATTTAGATCCGAGAATTTTGAAAAACATGCCATTTTTTCATAGAGAAAAGTGGTGCACAACTAGCGCTACCTATATGGTGTTGTAGCTGTTTTTAGCTGAGCCAACACCTGACTTAAGCACACACGCGAGGCCGCCATTTTGATCTTTACAGCGAGTGTTGAAGTGAGCTGTTTGTCATTTTGAGTCGCTCTATAAGTGATCCGTGTGTGACGTAGCTCAATGGCGTCAAATAAGCGGTGTCATTATAGTGCCCCTTATAAAAAAAAAGTGTCCTAGCCGTGAAATCGTTGTTCAATGTTCAAGGCGAGCGAAACTTTAGAGTGGGTGCAAAAAAAAAAGTGGGTTACCGGAGGAGGCTGAAGCGTGGGACGACATCCCAGGAACTTTGATAGTACATTTAAGAAGTGCGGCACATCCAATACACTTGATGGCACCGAGGATTGTGCACTGTTTGAAAACAGCGACGAGGGAAGCAGCCATGACGACTCGAAATGAGCGTGGCATCAGCAAGTGAGGCATCTTTATGTTTCAAGCAGCGCAAAAAAAGAGAAAAATGACGGCAAAGAAGCTCGCACAACTGGACTAGCGGCTGTATATTTTTCAAGTTATTTGGATCATGAATAAACAGCTTTGTTTTCTCCTCTTTGCTAAAACATGTTGGTGGGCTAGTTGGTTTGCATCCATGAAGAGCGAGTAAGCGCGAACAGACAAGAACGTGTCAGTACTTTTTTAGGTCCTTGTCTGTTTGCGCTTACTTACACATTCCGCCTCATGTTCAATAAATGTTTCCTATTTGTGAACGCTGTCTATACTCTTTCGTCTGGCCTACATTCGAGGTAATTCTTTTATTATACGGGCTTCCGACTTTTGGGGGTCAGCTTAGAATTGGGGTTGGCCTAGACACGAGTAAATACATTCTTATCCCAGGTTATAACATTGTTTACAGCAAACCATATTATGCAAATCCATAAACTTTCTGCAGGCAGCACAGATTGTGGTATAGGTGCAATGCTTCATATGTTAGTAACCACTTTCAGCATACCCCAAACCAGCAATTACTGCCACTATGAATTAACCCAAAAGAAATGTCTCTTAATCAAAACTTCTTTGAAAATTTTCAAAATGCAGAAATTTTATAGATTAGCCTTCAGTGTTCTTTTTACTCTCAATATTGCATGGATTTTATTCTTCTGATAAGCTAGAAAACTTCTGCTAGGAGAGATTGCAATGCTAGCATTGAGGAATATTGGCTTGGGCCCTTGCTTTGATCCACAAGACAATGAATAGGGCCACTGGGATGAATGACATCAAAAGAGATGAGGCTATCGTGAAGGGTTAATAACTTTACATTCACCCTGTCACACATGAGTAAACATTATGAACATTACAAAAAAACATGCATACTGCATGTTTCGCATGTTTACTTGGTCAGTGACCTCTACTTTTTTTCTCATGTCAGCTGACCGAGCAAATCATCTAACTCTGCACTACACATCATACCCTGCATATTTTTTACCCTGAATTGATTAATGACTGATACCTTACCATGTTACTTGACCTGATGAACTTTCATCAAAATCTTGACTAAATATAATGCTTCACGTGTTTTGGCTTTGACTAGGTTAATGGTTGCAACTTGACCTGACATTTAGATTTTCATTTCATGTAGTCATCATGTATCCAGCGATATCAGGGTGAAATTTCTGAAGTTATCCAGTGCCTTGAGGAAAGCTTACCCCCTCTCCCCTGCCCCTCAAAAGAAAGAAAAAAAGAGGAGTATAAGCCAAATCAACATTTCCAAATTGGTACATAGCTAATAAATCAGTGCGATGTTACATGTTTTATGCTATTTTTTACCACTGAAGTTTTCGATGCACAAAGTTAAAATTTATGATGATGATGAAAACTATTTTGGTCCAGAGGATACGGAGGGGAGACCCCAAGCTACCCGGCTAGTCCCATTTATGTAGTTTCTTTTGTGCACAGCAAACAGAATCGGATGACTAAGTGTCCAGGAGTGAAAATTTAAACATGGTGCTGGCTTTCAACATGCACATAATCAATTTAGGCTGTTATCGAACATGCTAAGGTTCTCCTCTTAAAAGACTGAACCAGAGCAGATGCAATGCACCCTGTTAGAATTTACCAACATATACAAGTTTCTTATTTACATCTTTCATCTAATGCTCTGTGTGCACAATGCAGTATGACCCTGGTGAATTTAAACTTCATTTCTTGACTACCGCAGCGTTAAGGGTTAGTAATCGCTAGCACTCGTGACACAGTAGTTCACTACACTTCTCCTAGGTAGTGCTACACCCAAATCACTATAATAAAAATCACAGAAAAGCGAATAGCTAATGTTTGGCACAAAATAAGTACATGTACAGGGACAACCTCTGTCCTCCATCACAGCACTGGGCTGCTATGCTGGAGCACAGTAGTTCGAGTCCTCAATCGGCCACCAAGGTGCAGTTTATTTCAAAGCGTTGCCTATTTGGCGAGATAGCAGCACCTGCAGCCATAAAAAGCCAGAAAGGTTCACAGAAGTTCACTTTCAAAGACACTCATCAAGTGTTCCAAATCTTTGAATATGTACCACAACTCGATAGTTTTCTGTAGTTTTCCTTCAACAAGCTAACAAAAAATATTTTAAGCTTAGGTCACAACGATCAATGTAGGAACTTTAAAGATGCTCTTTAGATATGAAGGAGCGAAATGCAACGGAGTATTAGCTCGCTGTCAATAGGAGCAGACATGCAACTCCTTTGGCAAATGTAGGAATGAGAACCAACCCCTAAAAGAAGTCATGCATGCTCAACCAATATGTTTCATCTGAGTTATAACTACTGTGAAATAATACATATTAGAGAAAATGAGACAGAGAATGCACAGATTGTTAGTATGGTACTCTGGAGGCTACTGGGAAATAGCCAGACAAACTTGGAAAATTTGTAGCAAATAGGTCTGACTAGTATTCACACACTCATGGTGTCAACTAGAATCACCAGTGACACTTAAAAACAACTGAAGATACATTAACATATAATAAGCCACCACTACCCCCTCAATTTTTTTTTCACATAACAGACACCTAAAGCTAAGGAGGGAGTTAGAACACACAATATACTTTGTTTTATACTATAACTGTCAAAGGAGGGAAGGTGGTCTTTGTTGCAGTGCACCTCAGCTGCATTGGCATGCTGTAATTCATGATACTCCATACATCACGGTTTAAGGAAAGACACTACAACATGACTATAAAATAAATAAAAACTTTGTTTTAGATATTTGCATGCACCAACACAAGTTCCCTCTTTGTTGGTGGTGGGAGGACAGGAAGCTACTTTTTTCATTTTTTTGTTGAAACTTACTAGTTAATGACACTGCAGCCAAATGGAATTTCATACAAAGATGTCAAAGTTATTATTAATAGCACTTTGTTTTAAACACACATTCTTTACAATGGGAAAAGTAAAAGTTAACTGAAATAACTACATTCACAAGGAACCCATAAAGACATGAACAGCAAGGGTAAACTCAAGTATGGAGCCGACCCACACCCACAAAAAAAAATGCAAAACTGCACAATGAATGTGACCTTGCTGTGGCATCAACTGATGGTTATGGGTGACATCATAATGTCCTGATTGGCAACACCTGAGGACAGACGAAGAGGGGCCTTGTGTCGACACAAACGTAGAACTCCCAGAGCAAAGCAGGAACATACACAGCCCAGACCAAATATCTGTTGAAAAAAAAAGAAGCAATATGCAGGCTATAAATTATATTCCAGAAGTTCATTCTGTCTCATCTAAGTAGGCTGCTGACTTTACAAAATAGCACCATTAAGCCCAACTTCAGCTTTAAAAAAAAAGAACACCTAACCTTCACTAAAAGAATTTAAATATCAAAAGATTTGGTATTTTAATCGTGACAAGAAATCACTACATCGCTGCCGACAGCATCAGCATGTAGTGGCCCACGCCAGCGCTTTTGAGGGTGGAAATAACGGAGGATGGCTGCAAGCCAATGACTGGATAAATGTAACCTTAGAAGATATCGTGGCGTGCCTTTAGAACTGAGATTACTAATGTATCGGTAATCTATGACTGTGTTAGTGCATGCGCCGTGTGGTGAAAACGACTTAATAGGGGGCACAAGCGTGCCCACAGTGATTGCTTTTGAGGGCACGATCACCTTCAAAAGAACTTGGTGGACTTGGAACTGGACAAGCCAGAATACATTGCCAACAATGTTGACAATTCCCCAGTGCGTATTGATGTGCCTGGCGCTGAGGCATAAAACCATCTCATTGTGATGATATCCTAAAAGCTATTGCTGAAGAATACTGCCTCTGGTATGACTAAAGAACCCCTAATTAAGCTTGGACAATGCAAACCAACAAGAACAGTGTGTACACCACATGATGACAAGCATGAAATGATGATCAAGTGTGAAATGGCTTCATGCTATGAAAGCCACATTTCAAGCGAGCGCCAAGGTCACATGGTGTACAAATGCGTTATACATCGCTCTCTACATGCCTCTGACCATGGCACATCATCTTAAGTATTCATCAAGTGTAGAATGCACAATGCTTCTACTGAAAATGTACCAGGAAATTATACAGGAAAAAAAAACGAGGTGGGGTCCTTCACCTTATCACATGAATGGGGCACGATGCCTTGACTCTGGTACATAAGAGAATGCAAAAAAAAAAAAAAACGCAGCTTGTGAATGCCAGCTAAGGCAAAAGGGGAGAATATCTGCAAACATTGATGCTGGCCTCGAAAGGTTATGGTAACAGGAAACTTCCATTTTTTCAAACACCTCCAATCATGAATGAATATAAAAAATACTGAAGCAAAATACTCAATTTAAGATGCCTAAGTGACATTCATAATGGGGCTTGAGTGAGCCGACTTTGAAGAAAAGAAGGTACATAAAGTAGAGGTGCACAAATAGTGAAATAATGAGGTTGTGCAAGGGGACTGTTCTGAAAGTGGCTGAGTATGAATGCCCATAAACAAGACTACGAAATAGAGCCAGTATTCAACCTTTTGTTGAAAATCTGTAGGTTCATAACGAGTGCAACAAGTAAGGTCTTTTTACAAGTCACTGCTGAATTTTTACACAGGTACTTGTTACAAATAGGGAAACTATCTGGTGTTAGTAGATGGGCAATATGAATTACTGTACGAAAATATGGTTGATGTGATACAGTTCTGCCCCATAAAATAGGCCCCCAAAGCGTCCATTGAATGACCTTGAGTGCTTAGAGCTATTGTAACTGCATACAGTTCAGGTCTACGTGGGCATGTAAGTGGATGAACCCCGGCCTGCAGGATGCTTTGGTTCGTTTACATGCAGTATTGATATCTCACTTATGCTTAAAGCTACAGAGCACAGCTTTCATGCTTTCAAAACACAAATGTGAAGCTACACTGCAACAAAGCATCCAAACACCACTACAGGAGTGCTACCCTGACTGGCTGTCTCACAAAAGTGGTGCCTTAGTGGTGGAGTAAAGAACTAAGCACCTTGAACTATATTGAAGTGACATAGTAGCCTGTAGTAAAATAACTTTTCAAAAGAGCGACCATACATCTAATCCTACAGACCCCCTTCCTGAAACCTGCTTCTAGATGCAATCATTGCCAAACCATCATTATATAGTATAGGGTCTGTCCCAAAAGATCATAAAATTTTTAGTGTAGTCTGCAATGCCACCTGGTGGGGAAGGGCTTCGGTTGAAAAAGTAAGTAGGGCATATAAATATAGAAATGAGAGTAGTGTTAGTTGCCTGCGAGTGGTTGTTGAGGCAGGTCACAGTTTGCGCAGGGGTACCCAATACACCCTAAAGAAGAGAAAAAAAAAAGGACCACTTATTGGAGCAGTGTTATGCAATCTATTTTTGAGTGAAATTGGGTAAAAATAGAGGTGAGATAACTGAAATCTTTCAAAAAGCCTAAAGTGATGACTCCATGAAGCAAGGCCAAACTTTAATGCGGCACAGGAGGCTCTGGGTCAGGGGTCAGTATGGACAAAGACCAGCAATTAAGCCTTTGGATGATTGCAGAGTATAGAATACCCAAAACACTAGATCAGCGAATTTTAACGGAGGTTGATCAAACATGGAAAGCCTGCACAAAAATGGTACCAAAATTTCTGACAAGCGAGATAAAGGAAGATTGTTTGGTGAAGTGCCAGGAACTGCATGAGCACTACAAAACTGACCCATAATTTTTGGACACAGCGATAGCAGGAGATGTGACATTGATTTTTGAATACGAGTGTCTAGCGTTACGTCTAGACGTATTGATAGAAGCTGTTCAAGTTACGTCCAGACGTAAAAATAAGAAACGTTAGAGTTACTTGCACCTTTACAACAATACAAAACCAGCTTATTAAACCATCGAAACCGATCGACAGTTTTGACGTAGTATGCTGAGGCAGCACATGCAGGACGGTGAGGTCATTGGTTCGAGCCCCTCTCTGCAATCTTCTGCTTTTTTTTGCCAGCATTCTTTAAAACATTGCAGCATTATTGTTCCAAGGGCACCGCTTATATATATATATTTTTTCTTAAAGAAAATAGCCTTCGTGGCCACAGCGAACCCGCGAAATTGCGTTGCTACAGCGCCGTACAGTTTTGCTGAAGCAAAATAGTGAGTGTCAGCGACTAAAGCACATCGAAAAGCGAGAATATCCCAGGGACACATGAGCAAAACTTTGAGACTGCCAAATGATTATCAAACTCAAGAACCACACGACGGACGTAACTTTCACCTTTTGCAAAAGCTACGTCTAAACGTAACTATAGAAGCCGTTAAAGTTAAGTCCAGACGTAAAAATAAGAAACGTTAAAGTTACGTCCAGCCTGACAACTATACAAAACGGGCTAGTTAGACCCTCTAGACCGATTGGCAGTTGTGGCGCAGTAGGCTAAGGCAGCACATACAGGATGGTGGGGTTGTTGGCTCGAGCCCCTCTGCAATCTTTTTCTTTTTTTTTGCACAAGTATTCTTAAAAACATTGCAGCATTATTGTTCCAAGGGCACCGCTTATAATTTTTTTCTTAAAAAAAATAGCCTTCGTGGCCGCGGCAAATGCGCAAAATTGCAGTACAGCACCGTAGAGTTTTGCTATAGCAAAATAGTGAGTGCTAGCGACGAAAGCGCACCACAAATCCCAGTGACACACGAGCATACCTTCGAGACTGCCAAATGATCATCAAACTCAAATGCATATTGCGAACCACACGATGGACGTAACTTTACCAGCTGATCATCTTTACGGCTGGACATGAAACAGAGGCCGAATTAGAGGGGGTAAGCTTGGCTTCAGTGTCTCTTTTTTTCAAGCAAGGAAAATGCATTAAAGAGTCATTACCAGTATTAATGCATGCAGATGATCTAGTATTAATGAAGGACAACAAGGAAGATTTGCAGGGATCGATAGCCATCTGTGGTAATGAGCGTGAAATAGGTTAGATTTGAAGTTCTATGAGGAAGAATTGGTGGTCATGATTTTAGCGTAAGAAAGGCATAAAATACACGAGTCTCGCTGGACATAGTGGATAAATACAAATATTTTGGTAAATAGATAAGCAATGGGGCTGGGTACCTATGGGAGCATTAAATATATATATATATATATATATATATATATATATATGTGTGTGTGTGTGTGTGTGTGTGTGTGAGAGAGAGAGAGAGAGAGAGAAAGGTCAAGTGAAGGGCAGGGAGGTTAACCAGTAGAAAATTTCTGGTTTGCAGCTGTAATGAAATATAGGCACTGTGGAATCACTATAAGTACAATGTTGTGAGACGGATTTGGAAAGGGGTCATGGTTCCTTGTCTGATGCTTGTCTATGCAGTCTTGTGCATGAGATCAGAGGTTCAAGCAAGATTAACGATAATTCTTGGGGTGGTTCTCTGCTGTATTAAGCCAATTGATTGATATGTGGGGTTTAACATCCCAAAACGCCCATATGATTATGAGAGACGCCGTAGTGGAGGGCTCCGTAAATTTTGACGACCTGGGGTTTTTTAACGTGCACCCAAATCTGAGCACACGGGCCTACAACATTTCCGCCTCCATCGGAAATGCAGCTGCCGCAGCCGGGATTCGATCTCGCGACCAGAGGGTCAGCAGCCGAGTACCTTAGCCACTAGACCACCGCAGCGGGGCTGTGTATTAAGCCAAGGTGAGAGTATTCCGGACCAAGACTTACCAAGCTAAATACGAAAGGATAAGCACATTGTGTAGCGTATACTTGGAGATGAGAAGAAAACAGCTGATGCTGAAAGACATGATACTGTTCTGTAAAGGGATTCACTTGTAGTACTAGATAATGGTAAAAAATTTTTTAAAGCACTGCAGGCTTTACGGCGGTGCAGGCAAAACAGACCTTAAGAAGGTAGAATAACCAGGACGAGGTTAATTGATTGGTGGCTACAATGAAGGCCTGAGCGAAATTTAATCCTTCACTGCATAGTGCTAGTACTAGTATTTAATGTATTCCGGCTAAGCAGCGTAAGCCACTGCCCTATGTAATAGGTACAGCTTTATAAAATGGTAGTATGTAGGTGTTCTGTGGCCTTATCCATCTATCCGTTATAAGCCATCTCGTGAAGTGCAGGGAATTTTGAAATCCTTGTGATGCCAAGCTTGAACTAGCACCTGTTAAGGCCGGTTAGCGTGCGTGCACACACAGACAAACACACACACACAAAGGCTCCA